GGAAGCGCGCCGCGAAGCTCCTGCTGCCTGGCAGCTGCCCGCGCGCCTGCCTCTGGCGGGTGCGGGGTACTGCGGCAAGAGCGGGAGAACATAGGGAAACGAAAGGCGCAGCAGGATGCGCCAAGCCTGAGGGACCGGCCGCAGCTTGGCGGCCAAGCGCGCGCGGCTCCCCACCGGGCCCGGGCGCGCATTGCACAGGCCACCGGGGCGCCGTCTTGGCAGTGGGGTGGAAGGAGCAGTCTACAAGAAGGGCCAAGGCCAAGCCCCCTATGTATTTGCCGGGCCCCTTCTGATACCGCGGCCCCAGTTTTTCCCGGGGCCATGTTGGCCCCAGTATTTCCGGGGACCCCGCCAGAACTATACTAAGGAACCCCGTGGGAAAATAAGGACCCGGGATTTTTGCGACCCCGGTCCGATTAAAGGGGGAAAAGCACCGGGACCCTTATAGTACAGGGGGCCCAGTTTTTCCGGTCCATGCTTGCAAGATATTCCCCCTACGCAGCCGCCCCACCCCGGTCTTTCATCTATTGCGCAGCATCTCTTTTGGAGTGGAATCCTGAACGTTAAACGGCAGAAGGAGGTAGCGAACCAATGAGTAAGAGCAGGGCGAAAATCTTACTCAGCTTCCAAGACTTTCCCCCCAGTCTTTCACTCGGACTAGGCTTAGGTCGCTCTCGGTGCCGTAGTCTGGATGGGCCGCGCCTTGAGCGTGGCATCTGGTTGGCGCGCCGACTTTCGCACGGACCCGGAATGGGAAGCAGCATGTAGTCCTATGGAAAAAAAAATGTAAACTATGCCCCATAGGGAATACAGGGCTAGCAGGCTGAATTGAATGCATAGAACTAGTACTCCCTTAGTGTGCAGCAGGAGCGTGTCGACGTCGGGCAGTGGTCCTAGGAGACGTCTATCATTTTATCAACATTGGCCATAATTAAAAAGTCTTTGCTACCTCTCGAATGGGTACACTACTACTACTACTAACATGATGAAGATATAGATGAACAAGAATATTAAAGCGTGGACATAATATTTCTACGCAGCTAGCATTAGCTTTGGAGGAAGATCCATCTTCATCTTATATAAGTAAAACATGTCATCGATTTTTGTCAGGCGAGGAATGACATCAGGGAAAATAAATATCACCACAAATAAGAATGTGTTTCTTATTTGGAACCGCCTCGGTTGTTGTCGCTGACTTTCGTAGTCACCCATCATCCTCGGAGGCGAGCAGCGGGTGCCTGTGGGGCTCGTTGTGAAGGGTCCATAACCTAATGTCGGTTCTTACAAGTAAGATCGCTCTGTCGCAACGGAAATATTTTCTTCTATGTCGGGTTGTCTGTTCGTTATCAAAACATTGTCGGAGTTTTTGTTGTCGTAAAGTTTGTTGCAATGGGTTCGTGATGTTATGACTAAAAATTTCCAGAAATCGACGAGATTCTAATACCAGCGAAAAGCAAGGCTTTGCAAATGGGAGAAATATCTAAGAGGTGGCTCGACGTGGTCCCATATTTGGGGAAGTGTTGGCGATTTAAACTATCGAAAGCCAGGGCAAGGCCGGGCGCGACTGCACGGATGTCATGCGATTCGCTGCGCCTTGTCCTATAGGTATCAGAAGGGCGCGGGGGTGAGCTAATATATAAGCCAGCGGGGGCTGCGGAAATTCTGCGTCGATCTGCTTTCTTGTCAGTGTTTGTATACATAGACTGATAGACACACCACACAGCCAGCCAAAGAAGTGGGCTGGCCTCTCTCTCAGCGGAGGACGCTTATTATTATACTGCGTATTTCTATACTTACACACTAGCGGAGAACACTACCTAGGGGGGAATATCCGCGGAGCGAGAGTATTAGTCTACAGTTATACTAGCGGAGAACGTTTATCAGCGGAGAATACCAGCGGAGAACACCGGTGGAGAATATCAGCGGAGACTATGGGCGGAGAATACGGGCGGAGAATACGGGCGGAGAATATGGGCGGAGAATATTAGCAGATAATAGATACTCGCCGAGAATAGTAGCGGAGAACACTAGCGGAGAATACTGGCAGAGAATAAACATTAGCGGAGGACACTCGCGGAGAATACTAGCGGAGGACACTCACGGAGAATATTAGCAGAGGACACCAGCGGAGAATATTGGCGGAGAATAATTTTTAGCGGGGGGCATTTACTAGCGGAGAATACTAGCGGAGAATATTGGCGGAGATTATGCATGGGCGGAGACTATTAGCGGAGAACATTGGCGGACAAAACTAGCGGAGAACACTCGCAGAGAATAGTAGCGGAGGACGCTCGTGGATAACACTAGCCCTAGCGGAGAATATTCGCGCAGAATATTTTGGGCGAATGCCAGCGGAGAACATCCGCGGAGAATATTAATTCGCGGAAAATATTCGCGGATATTAGTCACGGAGAATCTTCGCCCGCGGATAATATTCGCGGATAATATTCACGCCGGATAATATTCGCGCTGGATAATATTCGCGGATAATATTCGCGGATAATATTCGCGGATAATATTCGCGGATAATATTCGCGGATAATATTCGCGGA